GTGTAGATGTTAGCCCTCAGGCGAGGGGAACGTGGGAGCTCCGAAGTGAGAGCCGGTATCCTCCCAGCCTAGCCGCAGATTCAGTAACCAAGCATAAAATTAGTCAATGTTCTTTATGTCTGGTCCAAAGGGTAAAGAATATGTATGCTCTAATTTGACACAATATAATTTGAACTAATTCAATTTATCCATTCACTTAAATTTCTTGACAAGGAGAAGGATGCTTTCTTATATATTGAACTTCACATTAGAAACTTTATTAGTAGAATCAGTTAACTAAGAGTTTATTAAAATTACATTTTTATTTCAATTGCGTATTAGTGACAAATATGCAATTTGAACTATATTGTTGTGATTAAGTAAATGATTTTTTAAATCTTAGTTCGTAGCCTCTAATATTACTCCCTGTGGATCGATATCTAGGACTTCATTAGAGCCGTGTATTACTTGAGCGATAGGTATACTTACGTTAATAAGTGTGATTTTGGAATTAATGAATAATTTATACATATTTTTATGAAATCTATAAATGTTGTCAAGTTTTTTGCGCCGTTGCCGGTGATTTAAATCTTCTAGCAGCAAGATTAGGTAAATTAGGAAATTTAGAGATAAAAATATACAATAGTCCCTAGCTCCGTCGTGTCTGCTTCCATTGCCTCAGTACGACCCTGCCTAGCCTAAGGCCCTAATTCGATCATCCAGAGCTACGAAACTCGACGCCTTACCCAACAACGCCGCACCTACATCTAGTACCCTGACACCACCTTGTCAGAACCACTGTGCCCCCACCTACTTATGGTGGTTTTGGTGGTTTTCTGACAGTTCAACCATAAGAGAACATAAAAGCAACGAAAAATATCGAGAGGATTTTTGACTTGAAGAGACCTAGAGCATGAGAGAGAGAAAGGGGAAACATATGGGGAGAGACCTTCCTGTCTTGATAAGTGAATTACCTTACACATTTTGAGAGTCTACTTGAGTGATTGTAAGTGTGTGTTTGTATTGAGAGTGTGGATTGAATTTAGAGCAATCAAGGAGGAGAAGCAAGGAGAGAAGATTAAGAGTGAGAAGATTTTCTTCTGGTTGTAATTCTCTTTTTCTTGTGTACTTTGCAACTTCTTTCAATGAACATGAGCAACTTATAATTATACCAAGCTAGGCTTGATTACATTCTTATGTGTAGGAACTAAGGGCCCGTTTGGGGCAGCTTATAAGTGCGGTGGCGTTTTTGAAAACGCCGCCTGCCGCGTTTGAGTTTTTTACACTAAACGCAGGCCGTGGGTCAATCCACGCGGTCGACCTGCGGGCTACGTTTCAGGATAAACTGTGTATCCTGAAACACACAAACTGCCTTAAACAGACCCTAAATATTTTTTGTTTCTTTGATTTGGAAGTGTGATGAATCATGTTCGTTCCATGAAATTTTTCTTAGATTATTATGTGTATAATTGGATGTTGATGTGTTAAATTCTGAATTTAATTTACTTTCAAACCATTTGAAAAGTGAAAAAATCGTTTAATCTAATACTATTGATTGTAGGCTAGAAGAACATATAAATTAACACACAATCACTCAAGTAGAATAGGGATATTGCTATTAGGAGTTTGTAATTACAACGATGAATGAGGATCCTTGGGAGACATTGTAGGGTTAAATAAAAGTATAATATGAGGCTCTAACACTTCTTATATTTAAGAATAAAGTAAGGAGTAATTGTCTATGATTTTTGATATTAAGTATGAGAGATTCATTAGAAAAACATCGAAGATTCACATGATCCATTTCAAAGAGGCATGACTTTCATATTAGAAAACCCAAATTTGTTAGACTTGTGCAAAATTAGGATTCAGACAGTATAAAAACTTAAGGACTTTCATCATTTTGAACTAGATTATGGGTTAGTAAACTAGTACGTTAACTTCTTTGAAAATTAACAATGTTTCTCTCGGGATAGATAACTCGGACTCAGTATTCATACACTTCTTGATCGACGCATACATTTGCATTATTAACGTGCGCTTTACTGCTGCATGGATCAATCTCCATACCACCAGATGGATAATTTCTGCTGCTATTCTATGTTACTCTATTATATTTTTTTAATAATCTGGTTTTGTTATTGTCACTTATCTATTCATTTCATTATTTGGCTTTAAAAAAATGATCTTGATTTACGATTGGAAACTAAATTGCTGTAGTATGAGCAAATTGAAAATAAGCTAAAACACGTTCCGCATCCCTACAGCACATCACTACATCACACTTCAAATTGCTTGGTGGCAGTACGGTCATGCTTTTGTATAGCTGGTGATACTAGCTGTCAACTGGTTGTGAAGTTTCGTTGTGAATATATTTAATAACTTCATTGCTTGGTTTTGATATACATATCTTGCGTAAAATCTTTATAGTAGGATTTATACCAGAATTGTGTGATGATTGACTTTTCTGTCACACATTACTAATACTAGACCTCTGGTCCATGACCATAATTCCAGTACATAATATGTCTAAATCTTGTCAGGTTGGTATGCAGTATCTCTCAGGGTGTACCTCTGGTGGCAATGCCCGGTGTAAGGAAATGCTTCTTGCATTTCGCAAGGCTATTATGGATTATTCAATACCTCCAGAGAAAAATGTTGTTCGAGATTTGATCTCAAAAATTAATAGCTATGTGTCATTTTTAATTGAGTGCAGGCCTCTTTCAGTAAACATGGGAAATGCTATCAGGTTTTTGAAGAATAGAATTTTAAAGTTACATCATAACCTGTCAGAATCTGATGCAAAGTCTATTCTTATATCAGATATTGACCGTTTTATATATGAGAAAATAGTAGTTGCAGACAAGGTTATCATAAACCATGCTCTTACGAAAATTAGAGACGGAGATGTAGTCCTAATTTACGGACATTCAACTGTTGTGGAAATGATTATATTACATGCCCTTGAGCTTGGAAAGCAATTTCATATTGTTGTAGTTGATTCTCGACCTAAGTTTGAAGGGCAAACATTGCTTCGAAAATTGGTTATGAAAGGAATCAACTGTACTTACACACACATAAATGCCATTTCATATATCATGCATGATGTTACACGTGTTTTCCTAGGTGCTTCTTCGGTTCTGTCTAATGGAACAGTATATGCAAGAGTTGGTACAGCTTGCATTGCAATGGTGGCTCATGCTTTCCAAGTGCCTGTTCTAATATGCTGTGAGGCATATAAATTTCATGAAAGAATCCTACTTGATTCAATTTGCTCTAATGAACTTGGTACTTGCTCAATTTTTTGACATTATACTGGTTTTTCCAAATTGTGCATTTGGTTTCTATAAAAAAACAGTGGGGATATATCTATTAGTTTTTTTTCCTACTCTACAGGTGATCCAGATGTAATCATAAAGGTTCATGCTGAAACTGATTTGAATCCTCTTAGAAAATTGGTTGATAATGGAAATCTTCAGCTTTTGAATCTTATGTAAGCACTCTGAAATTTTACTGTTTGAAAAATCGCCATTTTGATGTATTGAGTTTACAAGCGGAGATTTATTTTGTCTGTTTTGACAGTTATGATGCAACACCCTCTGACTATATATCAATGATTGTCACCGAGCATGGAATGGTACATATATTCAATCCTTTCGGTTCGGCTTATGTTCTATTTGTCGTGAATGTTTGAACTAGATGTTAGATCTCTTTTTTATTAATCAGCTCACTAATGGCACGTAGATTCTTTCATTTAGGAAACTAAACAGCACCTCCACCATATACGTATCTGTTATTTTAATGCACAATTATAGAGGAAGGGATTCATCAATTTTTCTTAGAAAACTTCGAGTAGAATTCTCTGGCAAAGCAAATGTCACGTTCTGAATCTAGAAGGCATAACTCAATAATACAGGACATGATAAAGAGACTTAATCTCAGCTCATGAAATGAATTTTAAGAGCCAAGATCAAGTAAAACGGTTTTATTTTTAATAAAAAATGATTCATGCATGCATGCATGCAAGCAAAAATTTACACTCAGAAAATATATGCACCAAAATTTTATAGGATAAAATGTAATCAATGTATTTCTTTTCATCAAATTAACAAATAGAAAGAGAAACAACTTCATCTGCAATAATTAATTGAGAACCCTAACACATGGTCAAAAAAAGAACTATCGTTAAAAAAATTCAAAGAATCACTATTTGTTTACCTTGGCACCTACTCTAGATGTTGTTCTGATCAAAAACCACAATAATAGACAACATTTGCTGTTGTATCACATACATTGGGTTTAAGACCTTTCATTTGCATGAAACTTTCACTAGTGTCACTTGTTTCATGAAGCAGATTGTGCGGATCCATCCAAAGTATTAAAATCTTTAAAAAAGGTGGCTTTAAACAACTTGATATAGTATCACATTAATCTAGTTTGAAATGCCTCAACCATGATGATATCACTCAAACATTGCTCATTTCATGAAATGGATGGTTCCGCTGGTTTAGAATACCAAAATTACGCAGAGAAGTCCCTCAAACCGTTTCAGTGCATCGTCAGCTGGATTAGCATTGTAGGATAAATTTTTATCTTAGGGATCCAGGACAGTCATGCAATGCAAGGTTAAGTTCAATGCCCTCACTAGGTATGCTCCTAACTGTGACGCCACCTATGAGAAAAAGTATTACAAATTCTTACGAAGTCTTAGAGATCAGTTGAGATATCAATGAATTGTTTTTGTTAGTTGAAAAAGCTAAAATAATAAAGAGTATATTGAGCTACTATTAACTGAGCTAGGAATAATACTCAGGCAAATAAAAATGTTTGATAAGGGAGCAAATTTCCAGAGAAAGAGTTGAAATTTGATAGCAAGTAAAGATTAATTCCGAAAGAAAAACTAGGTTGTGATTAATGTGGCAGAAGATATTTTGGGCAGCACCTATTTGATTTCATGAAGTGTTTCAAATGTGGGGAAGCTGGACCATTGTTTAAAATTGTGCAATTGAGTATTGAGGTGGTTTTTATTCATGAGACGGCTGTAAGCCTCAAGGCTATCTATGAAATATTTGAAAATTGTATTGTCAAAATAAAAAGATGTACATATATATATATATATATTACTAAAAAAATTGAAAATTAAGAATTTAATGACACTTTCGCATAAATTGTCATTCTAAAATTGGACTATTGTGAGCACTAAATTATTACAATATGTTAAGATCCAGCTAACGAAGAAATTCCCTACTCTATTTATTACAATATGTTAAGATATAGCTAAAGAAGAAATGACACAACAAGTTATTTAAAAAATTCAACTATATTAAGTTAAAAAGTACAGCGGTAATCAACTTACACGAACAGTCTTACTTGTAAACCAATGCAATATGCTTTCATTTATAAATTCTGAAACAGATGCTTCAGCGCCGTTCAATGTTAGACGTCACGTTTGAACAGGAAGAGAAGCCGTCGAGAATCTGGAAGGCAAAATCGCAGGCACTTGAGGGCACATGTACTGCTTTCAGGCACCCAATTATTCATGAACAGAAACAACATTACAGTCCGGGAGAGGTGCAGCAGAGGGTACCCTGTGAGAGATCTCGACAGCTCTGAGAAGTCAAACTTAGCCTTGATGTCAACCTTGTTGCTGCAACCACACTATGCAGTGGGTACATGGACCCAATGTAGCATCCCAACTCTACTGGAGACCTGGAGAGGATATGAAAACTTGTGATGTGTTGAGGTGAAGCAGATCCAACATCTGCACTGGCGGCGTTCTTGGCAGACCCAAATAATGAGGCCTTTGTTAGCCTCGAATGACAGTCTTTGATTTGGTGATGTGAGTTCGTAGAGATGAAAGGGAGATCTGATTCAGGGACCTGAGGCATGGAAGCCATGGAGAGAATGTAGAGGAGGTGGAGGGGCCTGAGAGATTAGGCAGTGAACTCATCTCCTTGCCACCATCTACCCCCACCTTAGACCAAAAAAACAAAGTGCTTTACCAGAGGCAGTGAACTCATCTCCTTTTGATCAACTTCAAGTTATTGACACCATTGACTATCAAACGGATACCCCTGAAAACGTCACTATCCTCACATGCAATATGTCAACCATTCAGTCTCCACACAATGTTGTAGCTCCCTCGTCTTTGGAACCTCCTATTGTGGGGGCGAGAGAGATTCTTCAAACCCTATCTACTCTAAACCCTATCACTGATATTACAGGTGACAATACTTCTACTGCTTCACTATCGCCTCATCAGGTCGAGCAAGCAGTCGAGCAAGATGTTAATGTTACTTAGGCACATGGGGTTCATGATATCATGGTGTGCAAGAGCCTACGCATGTCCGATCACTCTTGGACCAATCCATTGATCAGATGAGTCAATCCTCGGATGAGAAATGACAGGTTTACACATCCAGGAGGAAGAAGAAGAATGGAGACCTACTTGAGCTCAGGAATCTGATGGATGATACGCACCTTACCAATTTGTTAGCCGGCTCCCTTTCGAGAACTAGAGACAGAGGGAGGACTAAAGTGAGACGTTCCTAGCGCTTTTGCGTTGGTGGTTTTTGGTTTTTTATATTTATGTATCTTTGCTTTATTTGAGATTTTGTGTGTGTTGTATTGTGTGAGTTGGGTCTTCTTTTAGGTCCACTCTTACAACTTATCTGTATATTTTCTTATTTAATTTATATATCTTTTGGCTTTACCGTCGTGCTCGACTCCTACGCTCTGCCGTCACGTCTTGCTCTTCCTTCGCGTTATCCAGATTCTGTGTGGTCGTTGAGCTGCGACTGACTTCCAGGTCGTCTCGTCGTCGTCGTCTCGTCTCGCTCTTCTTCGCGCTAGCTTCTGCATGGTCGTCGAGCTGTGAGCCGCGTCATGCTGAGTTCCAGGTCATCTCTTCGTGGCCGTCTCCTCTCGCTCTCGTTCGCTGCAAATTGTTCTGTGATCTGCCTCGTCGAGCTGCGACTGTTCCGCGGCTTCGACAACTGCAATTTTTTGCCCCGACCTCTTCGGCTCGCAAATTTTGCCGCTGCCTGACTTTGGCTGAGCTTTTCTTGCTGTGATGGAGCTTCCTTCGTCTACGGTAGAACCTGACAAAGCCTCCTTTGTCCATGTGGTGGGTAATCCTCAGAAGGAGACGTCAGTTGTCTTCCCCTCAAGTTGTAAGGAGCAACGAGATGACACAGGTGATTGATACTTTATCAAGATTGCAAGCAGGAAAAGTGAGAAAATAACACTTTTTTCTTTGAGATAGAAATTTCATCCCTGACTGATAAATTCAAGTTTGCTCTTATTTAAAAATTTTAGTGGGGACACCCACCTATAGATAATATCAGGAAAAGTTTTGATGATCTCAAATTAGCAGGAAAGTGGAAAGTGAGACTCATAGATGAGAGACGCGTATTAATTCAACTAACCGTGCCTAAAGACTACACTGATATTTTTTCCGAAAAATATCTCAAGATTGCTGGTAAACCAATGAAGCTACTCAAGTGGTCTCCTGATTTTGACCCTAAGCGCGAGTCTCCTACTGTACCGATATGGTTTAGTCTACCTAGTCTCAAGCTGCAGTTTTTTCATCATCAAGATCTTTACTATATTGGTGTCATACTTGGTGATCCTTTGAAGCTAGATCTGCCCACTTTTAACCTAACCAGACCTTCTGTGACCAGAATACTTGTTGAAAGAGATATTACTTTACCTGATGTTACTGAAGTCTGGTTGGACACAACTCAAAATAGATATTGACAACAAATTTTTATGGAGCATAGACCTCGTTATTGTTCTCATTGAAGATGTTTGGGCACAACCTTGATAAATGCTGTAAGCTTCATCCTAATTTGAAATCTAAAGATCGAGTGAATAAAAATGGATCTGACCTCACTACTTTGGACATATCTATTTTATCTGGAGAGAAAACTATCACAGAACATGTTATGGTCTCTGATTTAATCGCCTCTGTGGACCCTCCTAAAAATAGTATTTCTGCGATCGATGAGAAGCTGGATGACCCTGCTGAGCAATCTACACTTTCAAACCCTCCTCAATTGTAGGAAGCATTAGGTGAAGAGGAGACAATTCATGTTTCACACACACTAGAACCTACAGTCGTTGCAACAATTGATAATTCTTTTTCTGGTGCTCATCAACTTTTATCTGCCTGGTGTTCTGTTTGCCAACACGATGATTAGATGAGTCAGTCTTCTAAGGAAGAATGACAGGTCTATTCAAGGAGGAAGAAGAAGATTGGGGGTAAACTTCAGCTTGGGAACCTAATGAATGATACTTTGGTCACTTCGGGAAATGACTCGACACTCAACAATTTGTTATCTGGATCTCGCCCTAGAACTGGAGGCAGACTCATCCCTAGCAACTTTTTTTCTGCGATTTTGGTATCTTTCCTTTTTTTGGGTTCCCTTGCCCTTGTATTTTTTCTCGTTTGGTTTTCTCGTTTGGGGTGTTTGTGTGTGTTGTATCGTATGGGTAGGGTGCCTCTATTGGGCCCGCTTATTCAACATTTATGTATTTTTATTATTTTAATAGATTTATGCTTTTCAAAAAAAAAAAAAAGATATATTGACATCATAACATAAATATAACAAATTGTACTAAAATTATCTATTTAAGAGTGAAGTTATTTATAAACCCCATCCATAATAAACATTTAACAAATTAACTAAGTTAATTTTGCTTAAATAAACCTATCCTAATACAAAAGTAACAAAATTAATAAAAAACATATTACAGCGATACGGCGAGATGGGAGATCATGGGTGCAATTGCAGAGTAGCAGAAGACTATTCAATTTACCACCTTATTCAGATCAATTTGATATATTGAAATATATATGAATTATTAATGTATTTAATCTAATAAAAACTATTTATTATAATGATAGATTTAGTTTAATCATACTTTTAAACTAATTAATTTGCTGTTTAACTAATTTACCTGTATCTGTTCCACATAGGAACCCATGCAGTGGGTTGAATTGATTTTTTTTACTACAGTTATTAATTCAACAGAAGTGAGATTAAATATATATATATATATATATATATATACAAATATGTATACACTGGAGTCCACTTGACCCCTAAGTATAATCTCATGCATATGCTCTATGGAGTCAAAGAAACAAGAAGAAAATGTCCGTTCGAGCTTGCATAATATTAATGGAATACTCATATTAAGATATTTCAATGAATCAACTTTCACAGTCCGTGTGCATAACTTTCAAAGTCAAAGAAACTAGAAAAAAATGCTCTATAGAGTCAAAGAAACCAAAAGAAATTGTCTGTTTGAGTTTGAATAATGTACTGATTTCGATCAATGGATTACGTATTCGCTTTGACTGAGTATTGAATACAATTGGCAAGGAGAGCTGAAAAAACATAGCAGCCTTGACTTTTTATGCAGAATTTCTTCTCTGTTTTCAAGTCAATGAAATGGTTAAAGTTTTACACATATCCACTAAAAAACTTTAAAGAATGCATATATCCATATATTATTCTTCGTTAATCCAAGGTGGGGGTTAGTTTGTAGCTTTAACTTAGTTACCAGCATTTATTTCTTGAAGTTTTGATCCCCTCCTCTTGCAATACTACTTCAAGTCCAACCTTTCTTTCATGTTATCTTTTGAATTACCCTTAATATCCATTATAGCATTGAAGATATTATCATAAGAATTATTCTCAATATACATAATATTCAGATTATATCTAATCAAGATAGTCCCTCCAACATAGAAGTTCCCAATAAATACTCTACTTCGTCCAATTATGTATAAAACCAAAATCAAGAAGACGATCTGAAGCTAGTTGATATTTGGTATTTCATTAATCATTTTTCGTTAAGTTGGCCCCAGTTTTTCTTGCGAGAGTACTTGAATTTTCAACTTTATTTTTAATTTTTTCTGAATGGATGATCGTGGTTTAGAAACCTTTGATGACAATCAAACTAAGATTCTTTTTTCCATGTTTTAAGCTGAATGCCTTGGACAGATTTTTGCACAGTAAAGACAATAATTTTACAGAAACGCTCCAATGAGATAGTATCTTATAAGTTGAAAAATCACTAATCGTTCATATAAGAATAACTATAAGTTAAAAATTCTATTTAGTAACAATAGCATAAGTCAACACATATATTTTTTCTGCAATGCATATATCCATATATTTTTTCTGCAATGCAGGATAAATGTGGTCGAAATGTTTCTAGACTACTCCAACTGACGGATGACCAATGAATTAGTAGCAATAGATCTGATATTACGTTATGTCATGCGATGAGTTGTACGTAAAGAAGTGAACAGTCTTTGAAGTCGGGGCATGAACATTAAGTAGAAGAGACGTTTGTCTGAAATATTTTTCTGAATTTTACCTTTTCACCCCCTTAGTTTAAATCTCTCAGCACCACAAAATCTATATCTAGTCTCAATTGCATCAGCCTTATAATATAACATGCAACAATTAACACAAATTTATCTTCTTTAATAGTAATCCTAACTTCGATACTAACTTTTTCAATCTATAAGTGTCACATGAAACTAAATTCTTTTTAGGGGTTGCCTCCTTTAGTAATGATGTTATTTGATTAAAGCATTCTCTGAGCATTTTAAAATCAGATTTTATACTCAACATTCTTAAAGCTAATGATAACTCTATATGTATAGTGCAACCTTTTGACAAAGATTGCTGTGTTGTATTCAATAAACCATATAATTGTTGTGATTGACTGTTCGATGCCTGAGTCACAAAAAAACCACTTCTAGGTTAGTATTTTGTTGAAGGGATATTACTTGATGAAGAGCAACATAATCATATTGAAAATCTGGTTCATACTTATCTTGTGCAGTTTAGTACTAATAATTTGGTTGAAATCCCTTGCGACACAGATCCAACTAAACTTCTTCAGGTGTTAAGTACGCATGATTTTTGTGCCTCACACAAGGGTATCAAAATTTTCCTTCTAAAAAATTAATGGGTAACTGTGATGTCACTTGCTTAAATTTCTCTACATTATTCAAGAACTTCTTAACGAGTTATTCTTCAATTATACATTCATAATTTCAAATTTCGAATATTCACAACAACCAATATGAAGATTCAAAAGATTCGTACATTTTCAGTATATTCCCACAATTCTTATGTATTACATGTCAAACACATATACGTCAAATTTTACGTACAAATCACACAATTCATATGCATTTCATGTCTAACAAAAACTTTAATCTTTACATACAAATCACACAATTATTATGTATTAGAATCCTAAACACTTAAAACTTCAAATTTACATGAATTCCACACAAGTCATATGTATTACATATATAACACATCTACTTCAATTAAATTTTACATACATTACACTTAATTTTTTTTGTGACATATCTAACACAAACTTCATCGTTTAGACTTCTATAGACAAACCGTAGAATTCTTATGTATTACACATCTAACACCTAAATTTAAATATTTACAAACAAACCTCACAATTCTATGTATTGCATATCTATAACCTAAACATTAATTTTTACATATATTCCACTCATTTCATATTTATTACATATCTAACACATAAACTTCAATTTTTTTCGTACAGTCCACTCATTTCATATGTATTACATGCCTTGCACTTAAACTTCAAATTTACATACCTTACACTCAATTCATTTGATTACATATCTAACATCGAAACTTCAATTTTTACATACAGACCACTCAATTCTTATGTATTACATAGGCTTTACATATCAAATAGACAGTTCTTATCCCAAAACAAAACAAATAAAAAAATAAAAAAAAATTGTATTTTGTAGATTGAAGAATGTCCTCACATCATTTTGTCTTAATTTGCTTGACAGTTGGTAACTGTAGTAAACTCTCATCCAAATCAACACTTTTTTCGATGCAACTAATCTTAGTATATTTGAACAAAACATCCAAGCAAGGCTTCCTCAATCTAATCCCTTTTCCTTCTAATTCCATTTCCTTTCTCTGAATTGTTGGCGCATATTTTGATAAAGCATGCTTAAATCATCGATTTCGACTTCTTAATGATCTTATCAACAATGATAATATTGCCACTCTTTCTAAATCAATTAATTTATAGTGTAACTGTGCTTCAATTGATACTTCTTTACAACATTCCCCGTCCTCTTTTAAGAACATTAGCACAGAAAATAATATTTTTTTTAATTTGCAGATTCCCCCAACCAGTGTTCCAGTTATCGTCCGAGAGTACGAAAGAGATCAGTCAGTCTTTTAATATTCGCACAGCAAATTCTGGTAACAAACTCTTAAATTTACATTTCTAATGTCTTTTCCTGAATGTTTAATGCGAGACACGTGTTTTCTCATATATTTTATTTCAATAATGTTCGCCATGCATCCAATATGTTCTCGCGTTATAGTTGTTAAATTTTCTTCTCCTTCGACACCGTGAAGAGTGACATTATTCGCCTCTCCGGATTTTTAAAGACATACTTTTTCTTTTCATGTAACTCCAAAAGTTTTGTTTCTTGGTCTGTATCTTATGACAACACCATTTCCTGAACAATTGTTTTAATACTATTTCACGATTTTGAAGTTATAAATTTCGTCAAAAGTTGTCATCAACATCTTCTTTTTAATCAAACGAAACAATTTCTCCATTCACATAAAATAATACTGTAACATCTAGATGTCAGTGAATAAAACAGACCTCTAAGCTATTAATTTCGTCAAAAGTTATCATCAACATCTTCTTTTTAATCAAACTAAATAATTTCTCCATTCACATAAAATAATATTGTAACATCTAGATGTCAGTGAATAAAACAGACCTCAAATTCAAAAAAAATAAAATTGATGGCAGGCATTCAATATGCGTGAACCGGTTTGAGCATAAATGTTGTGGACCTGGGTGTCATTTGAATCTTATAAAATATGTTTCTTTTTCGTTGCATGTTATATTTATACATATTTAGACCTGAAATACAATATTTACATGCATATCACACAATTCCTATGTATTTACATATCTAACACCGAAAATTTAATATTTACATTTATAGCACTTTGGGGTCAGAAGGTGTTTTATTTTTAAAATGTAAGTAATAGTGACACTTTTTATTTGCTGTGTAAGATTTTAGCGTTACATATGTGAATGTGAAAACTGAGGTGGTAGATATGAAAATACATAAAACTAATGTGGTATGCATGTAAATGCCCTGTTCTTTAGACATCTTTCTCCTGCCTTTGTCGATGGACCACCTTAAAGCATCCATTTCAGTGTCAGAGCTCGTTTGGCAGCCGGGAGACGGTGAATTGCATTAACTTTTTTCATTTTTTGCCAGTTCTGGACATAATTTTATGAACTACCATAAAGTTGGCCTTCAGCATTTTTTTTTTTATTTATTTGCGTGCTTAATATCATATATTTAATACATTTATAATCCATTATATTGTACAAAAATATCATTACATGAACCGAAGGTATTTTTAATATCTTGATGACATTATATGTTGTAGTAAAACATGGCAAGGGATTATTGATGCAAGTATTGTGATAAGCCCATTCTGTGAAGGGATTATTGATGCAAGAATGGTGTGGGTTTGCTGGCTGCAAAGTGAGCTAGTTTCTGCAGGGCATTAGAAATGATATTTTTTGTTATACCTTTTTAATATAGCATAAATGAGAAATATGCATATAAAAACTGGTATTAGCAGAAGATATAATGGATAAACAGTTCTTTTGCGTCTAATATTCCTATAATATGTAATGATTGCAAGAAAGTAATCATTAAATAATATTGCATATTCATCTCTTAAAGTTTTAATTATTGAAATAAGAAAATGAGTGATAACAATTTTATGGCTGTGAGCGATTAAAATCATTCAATTCTAGGAAGTTAGCCTAATAATTATTATCATGAATAGTGGTGTAAACGAGGCTCGTTTATATTTCGAGCTCAAAATGTGTGTTCGTGTTCAACTCGTTTACTTAGCGAGTCGAACACGAACCGTTTACGAACAAAGAGTCATTTTGACAACCCTAATCGTGCAAGTCATAAAATGTTAAGGATTGAGGTAAGATT